TAAAAAAAAAAAAAAAACCTGTTTAGGCAGATATCCCTTCTCCATGATTTTTTTTTTTTTGAGTTTAACTTTATTTATTTTTTGAGAGAGAACTAGAGAGCAAATGGGGAAGGGGCAGAGGGAAAGGGAGGATCCACGCTGTCAGCACAGAGCCCCATGCGGGGCTCAAACTCACGAACAATGATATCATGACCTGAGCCGAAGTCAAGAGTCAGATGCTTAACTGACTGAGCCACCCAGGTGTCCCTCAGTGATTTTCTTAAAGGCGTCTGGGAACTCATCTACTTTCTGCCTCTTGGTCAGCAGAAACCACTTCTCCTGTTATCTTGACATTTTTTTAAGCCAAACATCTCTAAAATTATCAAACCATCCTTTGCTGGCAATAAATTCTCCAGCTTCAGATCCTTCACTTTCCTAGATCACAAAATGACTTGGCATTTTCTCAAATATTAGAGTCTATACATATTTCTTCCTTATGGTAATCCTGCACCCATAAAAACAGCTGCATTTTCAATACAAGATCAAAAAATATTTCACAAAAAGTACAAATTTTTCACATCTGCTCATATAGCTGTAGCAATGGCTTCATGAATTACCCCCCCCCCCACCCCGCCGCACCTTTTTTTTTAAACAACGATCCTTAGGGGTGCCTGGGTGGCTCAGTCAGTTAAGCATTTGACTTCGGCTCAGTCATGATAGTTTGTGGGTTCGAGCCCCACATCGGGCCCTGTGCTGACAGCTCAGAGTCTGGAGCCTGCTTCAGATTCTGTGTCTCCCTCTCTGTCTGCCCCTCCCCTGTTCCTCACACTCGGTCTCTCTCTCTCTCTCTCTCTCTCAGAAATGAATAAACATTTAAAAAAATTTTTTTTAAACAGTCCTTAGGCTGGATTCATTTATCTTGAAATGGCGGGTACCTGAGCCACAGACCTCAATCTATGGTACACATTAAGCAATTTTTTCTTGTAATGTCATGACTCTGCTCCACTTGGGAGCACTTCTGGCAGCACTAGAGGCAATTCATATGGGTCCCAGGCTGTTATGTAAGGCTTATGATATTGCAATAAGCACGAAAAATACATAAGAACCATGAGACATCACTTTTTATGGCAATAACGCAATTTACTGGAGAGAGAAACTGCTCAGAGATGATTAGCACCACACAGTGTTTTAAGCGGGTACTCACAACACTTGAGCTCACTGCATAGCAACAGGAGGTGGCTACGAAATTATTACAATGGTACACTAGGTACTATAGTTAGTTTTATGCAGTTATGACTTAATACTAAATCTTTACATTCGTTTACATGTCTCTTAACTACAAATGGCACCATGTATGGTCTGTTAAGTATACATATAAGTTTTGATAAATTTTAACTTTTTATAATAGATTTGTGTATACTCTATGGTAGCAAATGATAAAAGACTAGTATCTACTAGTCATATTTTATGCATTAAAGACATACCTTTTTCTTAACTTTTTCAATATTTCTACGTTATGTGATTTGTAAGTTGTTCCAAATCTCCAAAAAATTTTCCAATATATTTACTGAAAAAACAATCCACATATAAGTGAACCTGCATAGTTCAAACTGATGTTGTTCAAGGGTCAACTGTATTATTAAATAATCCCTATAAAGCACATAGTGCAGGGCCTCACACACAAATATTAATGGCTCCATAAACATTAGCTTAGCTGCTGTTGTTAAGCTAGAAACTCTACTTGGGGAAATCTTAAGACCGAACTCTTTTGGAAGGACCAATTCTAGTATCTCCTTCCATGCCTTCCCCAACTTCCCAAGGGTAAAATAATTCACTCTCTTCTCTATCTTCTCAAAGAACATTATACATACTATATAACAGCAACTATTAGATCTGATTGTGATTGTGCACACACTTGTTTCCCCAGCAGACTGTAGCCAGGGACGATATCACTGGGCACAAACACTATCATTGCATACTGTTGGATCTAGTTAAACTAGAGAGTGAACTATTTTAAATCAGAATAACCATACCACTGCACAAACATAAAAGAAACGACAATCAATAGCCTTGCTGAAAACACCTGCAATATAGCAGTGTATTTAGTATACAAACCAACTCTAATCTGAAGTATATGATGTTGATGATTAAATTTCAGTTTACCAAGGTAAAATAACATCACTCTTATGTTTTTAATGACATGAAAATAAAGCACACAAATGAAAAAAATAAAAACTTTCAAAAGTTGACTCAAGGAGATAGTTCTGCATAATTCCATTAGATCTTCCAAAAAAGAAAAATCTTCATTATAGTAACTTCTGGCAGAGGAAATTTCAAGAACTTTGATCACCTTGTACAAGTCATTAAATGTCTGACGCAAATTGGGCAAAAGCCATAGTAGGCTGTCCTTTAAAAAAAGACTCATCATTAAAGAGGATTATTGGATTTTACAGCTATGCAAACATGACAACTATAAAAACTTAGTAGTCAAAATGAGCTAAAAAAAAAACACAAAAACTGACAGTCATTCTATCTGCAGTATATCATAAACTATGCCATTAGCACATACTCCTGGGCTTCCTCAGAATTGAGACTCAGACATAAATTGGTTAAAAGAAAGTAAATTAGACTCAGATATACATTAGATTAATATGAAGAAAAATAAATTAAAACTTACTTCATGATATATTTGGCTCTGTCTATTGTTTGGGCCTTAACTTTTACTAAAAGTGGGTGACTATTATAAGTTTCATTCTTCCACTGGCCATACAGACGATACCTTAAAAAACAATGAAATGAAGAATTAGGAAAAGTTAAACACTCAGAGGCTAATGCACTAGAATAGTAGTGAAAAATATAAAAATTTATGTATTTACCTATGCTGATAGGGAAATGTTTTAAACATTCCCCATAGTTCCTCAGACATACAAGCATTGCAGTCCATCAAAGAAAGAGATGGAAGTAGTACCTGGTCAGTAATGCTAAGTAAACAGCTAAGGATAACTTCCTACGAAGAAGGGAGGAAAAATTATTTCAGTAAAAGGTCCATATTAATCCCCCCCAAAAGAAAAAACAAGTTTATGCCAGCCTTGGAAAAACTTTCATTCCTTCCTCTCATAAAACACACCTAATTCCCCACACTATCACTGTCCTTTTCACAATGGATATTTGTGTTTCTCCATCTAAGAAAGCAATGAGGTGAGGTAAGGAAAGGGGCAGCAAGAGAAGGAGGGACTCATTAATCCCTCTTCCCTTCTCAACATGGTAATCTTCCAAAACAGGAACTGTCAATCTTACACGATAACTGTATGATATTCCAAAAGCTCTATCCAGCATGTAGAGTACAAAATATTCACATAGGTGATTAAAGTCTGACCACAGTAAAATTTACAGTATGCTATACATAGACAAATATCAGACACATTGGATTTTTCTTGTCTCTTACCGTTTTCTCTTTATCTTCTTGTTTGCTTCCATCAGACTGAAACTAAAATTAAAAATAACTATAAATAAAATGCAAAAAGGTTAAGATTATGATGTCACAATTTAGCTTCTAATGTGAAAAAATTAACTTGTACATGATTGTGAATTATTTCCTTACTTTTTAAACAAATGTAGATTTTAAATATAGCCAGCGTTACCAATTAACATTTAAAAATTTCACCTATATTTCTAACTTCCAAATTATTTTGCAATATTCATGAATTTTAAATGTCAATTTCATAAGCCAATTCTTTTCTCAACCTCATTATCAAAAACCAAAGCATCCTAAAACTGATCTAAGTATTTATTGTAAGATTGTATTCAGCACAACTCAGTTTATAATGCATTTGCATTTTTCCATCCAGAAGTTCTGGTTTTCCGCTACAGAATTAGTAAAATCTAAGACTAAAACATTAACAACAACAACAAATTTAACCCAAAGCAATTTAAACTATGTTTCAATTCACCATTACTTAAACTCTCAATGAGAAATAAGCCCAAAATATTAATAACAAAGACAAAACCATTGCCTAAGTTGGACAGAATGAAAAAACCTGGGTCATTTTGTATCAATGATTTGCAGGTGGACCTCTGAAGTGTCATGTTTGATGCTGATGCTGTCCATTCATTCAAAACGAAATAGTGAGTAATACTTGTGTGTATAAGCAGCTGGACAGTTGGGAGGACCATGCAAAGGCCAAAAGGACAACTGAAGCACTGATAATCAAGGACAATCTAGATTTCTGGGAAGGATTTAACTCAATACCAAGTGAGGGAAGAGGAAAAGCTAACAGGCAGCTAACAAGCTTATTATTTTCTTGGCAGAAACGGGTGTTTTGTGCATCTACGTTTTCATACTTGAGTAATTTAATGGGTATCACTACAGAGAAGCCTAACTTCTGTGCAACATTTTCACTTAAGACTAATTCCAGGAGACTGCCATGTCACCTTGAAGGGAAAACATACACAATCCTTTTTTTTAATCAACAGTTTAAAAAGATATGGTTCCCTTTCACAGAAACAAATGTTAAGTCAATATATTTCCTGGTCAGCAAATAAGGATCAGGTTATGAAGGAGTGGCCTGACAGAAAACAAAGTAATAGCTGCTTAGGTTTTGTTGGTGGACTGGGGGTGGGTAATTCTGGTGGCATATTAGGTGTATAGTGGGAGGCAGAAATAAGGGTATGTCATAACTGGAAGAACTAGGTGGGGATAAAAGCTACTCCTTTTCTATTATACTATGATTCTAATAAAGCTACAGGTAGTTTCCTCCATAGAAATAAAAAATTTTCTTACAGTATTACTAAACTGTCCTAATTCCCTTACTATTTAAATTTCTAATGTCTATGTCAATTCTGTAGATTGCATAACCAGGAAAATTTGACAAAGACAAAAAAAAATGGAAAGCACAATGTAACTATCGAGAAGAGCACTGAGAAAGATTTCTATCAAAGGCTAACTACAACAAAGATGAACAAAAAAAAAAAAATCAAAAGGTACATGCAAGTAAAAGTAATTTCCTTTTGTTTGGTAAGAATGTAAACACACATTAGACTCTCCTGATGCTTTTTCTTTTAGTTTAATTTGCTGTTTAATTCAGTGTAAATAAAAACTCTCCATTCCCACAGTACAACACTAGAGTTTTATTGAATGGCCAGCCCAGGAAGAAATGGGAGGAAGAAAGGGGGGGTGGACAGAAGACATCCACTTCATTCATTCATTTACTATGTGCCAGACACCGGGAATTCAAAGATGAACAGAGTTCCTATCTTTGAGAAACTGACAAAGACAGTTCCTATCTTTGACAATCTCTTGAAGATCAAAAATAAGGCTTGCCAATGTACTATTAGGAGCTGAATTTTTAAGTCTGAATAAAATCAAGCACTCAAAATTATGCCGAGACAAACTATCAGCTATAAATGGCCCCAAGCAGGTTCCATTCTTGCCCTATGAAGAGGGAGCAGATGACAGGACTGCATAACAAAACTGGGCACAAAAAGAATGTAGGTCCACCAAGAGGGGGCTTCTGGAGAGTAAAGAAAGAAAGCTTGGGAAAACATTGTAGATTTAATTAGATAAATTACTTTTATTACTAACGACCTGTTTTTAGTACCTCTAACCTGTGAATATTTGAAATGCTACTTTAGACTATATTTAAGGAGGAAAAAAGTAAAATACTGAAGATTGTGACTAGATTTCAACCTGAAGCTACATCTAAGTAAATTATGACCCTATTTTTACCTTCCTTATTTTTCTCATTCTTATTAACTACCATTTATTGAGTACTATGTGCCATACACTAGGCGAAGAACTTCACATTTGTGTCTTAAAACTATCGGGAAAATCGGGGCGCCTGGGTGGCGCAGTCGGTTAAGCGTCCGACTTCAGCCAGGTCACGATCTCGCGGTCTGTGAGTTCGAGCCCCGCGTCGGGCTCTGGG